TGCCTGCGGTCCAAGCTACTCAAGAGGCTAAGGCAAGGGCATCACTTGAGCTCAGAAGGTTGAGGCTGTGGTGAGCTATGATCATGCCACTGCACTCCATCCTGGGTGACAGAGCAAGACCCTGTCTCAAATCTCTCTCCATATAGATAGATAGATAGATAGAGATACAGATATATATAATAGTCTCAGCTACTCCAGAGTCTGAAATAAAATATATATGTGTGTGTATACATATGCATATATACATATATATATATATGACCTGTAATCACAACACTTTGGGAGGCTGAGACGGGTGGACTGCTCGATGTCAGGAGTTTGAGACCAGCCTGGTCACCACGGCAAAACCCTGTCTCTATTAAAACAAACAAACAAAAAAATTAGCTGGGCATGGTGGTTCATACCTGTAGTTCCTCAGCTACTCAGGAGGCTGAGGCAGGACAATCACTTGAATCTGTGAGGCAGAGGTTGCAGATCACACCACAGCACTCCAGCCTGAGTGACAGAGCAAGATTCTGTCTCCTAAATAGATAAATAATAAACAAATAAAACATTCCTCTCGAAACAACTGTTAGTACTAACTAGACAGGAAAAATCAGCAAGAATAAAATAGAAGTCAACAATACCATCAACCAACAGTATCTAATCCAAATTTAGAAACATTCCACCCATTAACAGCAGGCTACACAGTGTTTTCAGGTTCCCATAAAACCTGAGGGAGTAAATGGCAGGCTAAAGCCATAACTTCTCAATATGGCATCGTGGCTCATGCCTATAATCTTTGCACTTTGGGAGGTGGGGGCGGGAGGATCTCGAGGTCAAGAGATCAAGACCATCCTGGCCAACATGGTCAAAACCTGTCTCTACTAAAAATACAAAAATTAGCTGGGTGTGGTGGCAGGCACCTGTAGTTCCAGCTACTCAGGAGGCTGAGGCAGGAGAATTGCTTCAATCTGGGAGGCGGTGGTTGCGGTGAGCTGAGACTGCGCCCCTGCACTCCAGGCTGGTGACAGAGCAAGAATCCATCTCAAAAAAAAAACCACAGTAACATTAAATATAAATGGTCTAAGAGGTCAGGACTTCAAGACCAGCCTGGCCAACATGGTGAGACCCTGTCTCTACTAAAAATACAACAAAAAAACTCAAGTGATCCGCCTGTCTTGGCCTCCCAAAGTGCTGGAATTACAGACGTGAACCACTGTGCCTGGCCTACAAATCCAGTTTAGCTCTCTTCTTCATCCCTACTCTCATATTCATCATCATGTTCTTTTAAGTCTAATTCAAATTTCTATCTACTGGATATGTATCCCTATTGCCACTGGCTCATTTCACAGTTTAATGTGAAACTTATAATTAAACTTAAAAAAATATATTTTTTTGAGACAGGGTCTTACTCTGTCCCAGGCTGAAGTGCAGAGGCACGATCTAGGCTTACTGCAGCCTTGAATTCCCAGGCTCAAGTGACTCTCCCACCTCAGTCTCCTGAGTAGCTAGAACTACAGGTGGGTACCACCACACCTGGCTTTTTTTTTTTTTTGAGACAGAGTCTCGCTCTGTTGCCCTGGCTGGAGTGTAATGGCACAACCTTGGATAACTGCAGCCTCCACCTTCTGGGTTCAAGCAATTCTCCCACCTCAGCCTCTTGAGTAGCTGGGACTACAGGCGCGTGCCACCATGTCAAGCTAATTTTTGTATTTTTAGTAGACATGGGGTTTTACCATGTTGGCCAGGCTGGTCTTGAAGTCCTGACCTCCAGTGATCCACCCACCTACGCCTCCCAAAGTGCTGGGATTACAGGTGTGAGCCATTGCGCCTGGCCATATTTTTAAGTAAATAAAAAACAGCTAGGCGTAAGCCACCATGCCCAGCCAAAAAATCAGTTCTTATGATTGTATCATCATGCAACTTCTTCCTTCCTGGCACATAGGTTTGGAATATGAGGTTCCCTATTTGAACAGAATGAGTTCACAGTTAAAGAAAAAAATCAATATTTAAATTACTTTCAATGCTGGGCATGGTGGCTCATGCCTGTAATCCCAGAACTTTGGGAGGCTGAGGCAGGAGGATCATTTGAGGCCAGGAGTTTGAGACCAACCAGGTCAACATGGCAAAACCCCATCTCCACTAAAAGTATAAAAATTAGCTGGGTGTTTGTTTACATTGTGTTAAAACAAAAAAGAAAAAGAAAAAAAAAAATTAGCTGGGTTTAGTGGTGCACACCTGTAATCCCAGCTACTTGGGAGGCTGAGAGAGGAGAATCACTTGAACCCAGGAGGTAGAGGCTGCACTGAGCCAAGATTGCATCATTGTACTCCAGCCTGGGCAACAAAGTGAGATTCCATCTAAAAAAAAAAAAAAAATTAGTTTCAGAGTTCCAAATATTATCATTCCTATCTCAAATTAAGTTAGGTTTTAGGCATGTCTGTGAACAGGGAGATTCTATAAGTATAAATTAAGATGCCATTTCCCTAGAAAGGCTAAGAAACAAATACATTCAGTAAGTATTTGATGAATTAAAGGAATGAGATGAAGATGATTTGTAGAAAACAACTCGTCTATCCTCATTCGATCCAATGATTCATTCCGCACACATTGTATCAGGCAAGATGCTCAGTATCAGACACAGAATACAGAAAGTACAAGTAACCAGCTGGGTATGGTTGCTCATGCCTGTAATCCCAGCATTTTGGGAGGCCAAGGCTGAGGAGGATTGCTTGAGGCTAGGAGTTCATTACCAGCCTGGGCAACAAAGCTAGACCCTCATTGTCTACAAAAAATAAAAATAAAAAATATTTCTTAAGAAGAAAGTACGCCGGGCGCGGTGGCTCAAGCCTGTAATCCCAGCACTTTGGGAGGCCGAGGCGGGTGGATCACGAGGTCGAGAGATCGAGACCATCCTGGTCAACATGGTGAAACCCCGTCTCTACTAAAAATACAAAAAACTAGCTGGGCGTGGTGGCGCGTGCCTGTAATCCCAGCTACTCAGGAGGCTGAGGCAGGAGAATTGCCTGAACCCAGGAGGCGGAGGTTGCGGTGAGCCGAGATCGTGCCATTGCACTCCAGCCTGGGTAACAAGAGCGAAACTCCGTCTCAAAAAAAAAAAAAAAAAAAAAAAAGAAGAAAGTACAAATAACCTTCCACAAGTTACAATGATATTTTATCAAAATGCCTGGAGCCGCCGGGCGCGGTGGCTCAAGCCTGTAATCCCAGCACTTTGGGAGGCTGAGGCGGGTGGATCACGAGGTCAAGAGATCGAGACCACCCTGGTCAACATGGTGAAACCCCGTCTCTACTAAAAACACAAAAAAAGTAGCTGGGCATGGTGGCGCGTGCCTGTAATCCCAGCTACTCGGGAGGCTGAGGCAGGAGAATTGCCTGAACCCAGGAACCCAGGAGGCGGAGGTTGCGGTGAGCCGAGATCGCGCCATTGCACTCCAGCCTGGGTAACAAGAGCGAAACTCCGTCTCAAAAAAAAAAAAAAAAAAAAAAAAAAGATTAAAAAAAAAAATGCCTGGAGCCACAAGAAGCCCATTTTCCCTTCTAATGAAAGGTAGATTAAAACTGGATTCATCGTATCTCACAGAAGAAAAAAGGACACACACTGAGCTTTTAGTTTTTTATTTTGATTGTGATGGATGGACAAGGTATCTACATTTTAGAACATCTTCTTAATCCCTAAACAAGTGAAAATCTACTTACTTATACATAAAAAGACAAAGAGAAAAGGTCATGATTGTCTAACAGGGAACATGAATCCTCAAATAAATTATCTTACAAAAATATCATACTTGCTTTTCTATTTTTACTACTGGTAAAAATGAAAAAAATAATTCACATTAAAATAAAATCTGTAGGCTGGCATAGCAAGACAACTGTTTTTACATATTAAAGTCTTTCAAATAAATATTTTACACACGAATTTAAGTTTTCAAAAAAATAGGTTATTTCCTATATTTTTTTTGGTCTGCTAAGAGACCACTTATCAAACTGACATTAAATTGGACTGCAGGTCATACTCTGCAAAGAGTAAAATGCATGTCACAGGCAGGCTGGATACACACATGGGCATATTTCATACATTCGAAATGGCTAACACTGCTGTGCATACTACTTCCATAAGTAGCTTTACCCTGTAAAAATACTGTAGTCTAGGCTGGGCGGGGTAGCTCACGCCTGTAATCCCAGCACTTTGAGAGGTGGAGGTGGGCGGATCATTTGAGGTCAGGAGTTGGAGACCAGCCTGACCAACATGGTGAACCTCATCTCTACCAAAAATACAAAAATTAGGCAGGAATCCCAGCTACCTGGGAGGCTGAGGCAGGAGGATCACTTGAACCTGGGAGCCGGAGGTTGCAGTGAGCTGAGATCATGCCATTTCACTCCAGCCTGGGCAACAAGGGCGAGACTCCGTCCCCACCCCTGCAACCCCCACCACAAAGAAAGGACGTATAGATTACTGAAGATGGGATAAAAGTCAACACTTGCTTACAAATACCTGAACATGGAGAGCACAGTCAACACATTCATGTGGACAGCATATGAGCAAATTAATATATTACACAGCTTCTGATCTCTTCCTCTTGTTTTATTCTGAAGAGACTTGGATCCTTTATGATGATTTAAAATATAATATTACATTACGTTTTCCCGGTCTAATAACCAACATTAAGAAGTACAGTGGAGGCCGGGCGCGGTGGCTCAAGCCTGTAATCCCAGCACTTTGGGAGGCCGAGGCGGGTGGATCACGAGGTCAAGAGATCGAGACCATCCTGGTCAACATGGTGAAACCCCGTCTCTACTAAAAATACAAAAAATTAGCTGGGCATGGTGGTGCGTGCCTGTAATCCCAGCTACTTAGGAGGCTGAGGCACGAGAATTGCCTGAACCCAGGAGGCGGAGGTCGCGGTGAGCCGAGATCGCGCCATTGCACTCCAGCCTGGGCAACAAGAGCGAAACTCCGTCTCAAAAAAAAAAAAAAAAAAAAGTACAGTGGAAGGGTATAGAACTTTCTACATCTTCTCATACTTTTAAAGCTAATTTGGTTTTTATTATGACATAATACTTTAGTTAACAGTATGCTAAAAAAAAAAATGACTGAATTATATAATCTTGTCCACAACATTCAAGTCTCTTTTTGCTAAAATATTACAAAATGAATCCAGGTAAACACTTTCCATTTCCAATGGCCTAGGTTAGAGATGAATTCAACTTTTTTTTTTAAAAAAAGTGATTACAATCACACTGGGCTGAGGACAGCTACGTTAAACCCTGAAAACAAAAGCCAGGTACTCAAACATCTAAAACACTAACACTTTCCATCCAGGATAGAAAAATGAGCATCCAAAGTAAAGAGAACCACAAGACTGATCAAGTAACCAATCAAAAACCACTTCTCTGTTATTTGAACTTATAGTTACTCGAAGCTTGAAGTTTCCACCTTCACTATTATTGGTGGCTCCTAGAGTCACGGCTTCAATGTCAAATGTGACAGTGGACCCAGAAGTAACTGCAGGTAACTGATTTGTCATTTCTTTTCCATTGACAAAAACTGCTCCTAAAATGTTAAGGTAAAGAGTCATTTACACGTGAGCAATAACTAAGAGACCTGAAATAGTTTCTAGATTACTGGTAACATAGCTAATTTGCTAATTCAGATTAAAAAAAAAAAACACAAAAAACTGGACTTAGCTTTTAGAGTTCTGGTGCAGGACTCTACTCTTTGTTTTTTTGTTTTTTTTCTTTTTTTGTACATGACTACTGCAGTACAGGGCTCTACTCTTTTCCAGCAGAGACTATGAGTTTCTGATATCAATGTCATGAAAAGAAACTTGACAGTGTTACAAAATTACTTCCTGTGAAACAGCAAGACTGTTTCCTATGGAATAAACAAGAATCTTATTCTGCGCAATTCTTGACTCAACAACACAATTTTTTTTTAACGGAGTTTCACTCTTGGCTCACTGCAATCTCCGCCTCCCAGGTTCAAGTGATTCTCCTGCCTTAGCCTCGAGTAGCTGGGATTACAGGCATGCCCAGCTAATTTTGCATTTTTAGTAGAGATGAGATTTCTCCATGTTGGTCAGGATGGTCTCAAACTCTGGACCTCAAGTGATCTACTTGCCTTGGCCTCCCAAAGCGGTGGGATTACAGGTATAAGCCACCACACCTGGTCCCCCCGCTTTTTTTTTTTTTGAGACAGAATCTCACTCTGTCACCAGGCTGTAGTGCAGTGGCACAATCTTGGCTCATTGCAACCTTCACCTCCTGGATTGAAGCAATTCTCCTGTCTCAGCCTTCTGAGTAGCTGGAAGTACAGGTGCATGCCACCATGCCCAGCTAATTTTTATATTTTTAGTAGAGATGGGGTTTCACTGTGTTGGCCAGGATGGTCTCCATCTCTTGATCTTGTGATCTGCCCACCTTAGCCTCCCAAAGTGCTGAAACTACAGGCATGAGCCACCACGCCCGGCCAACAATACAAAATATTAACATGTCTTGCTAGTAATTTTTAAAGAGCACTAGAGATGTAGACTGAATGATTTATTATGTAAAGAGTTTAGAACAATGCCTGGTACATAGTAGTTACAATAATCATGTAATTAAGACCAAAGCTTTCAGCCAGTCATGGTGGATGACGCCTGTAATCCCAGCACTTTTGAAGGACAAGGTGGGAGGATTGCTGGAAACCAGGAGTCAAGACCTACCTGGGCGACAACTTATCTTCACAAAAAAGTTAAAAAAAAATTAGCCAGACAAGGTGGCATTCACCTGTAATCCCAGCTACTCAGGAAGCTGAGGTGGGAGAAACGCTTGGGCCCAGGAGTTTGAGGCTGCAGGGAGCTATGATCATGTCACTGTGCTCCAGTCTGGGTGATGAAGTGAGACTTCATTTAAAAAAAAGAAAAAGAAAAAGACCTAAATTTTCTCATCTCCTACTATAAACGTGAAACTGGCAAAGATTCATATATTACTATAATAATTCATATATTTCCAAGAGAATGACAGTTATTCATCTCTTACCATTTGTACTAATGCACACAGCTTGATCCCGCTGCAGAGAGTCATATCCGTCCTGTTTTTCTGCACACACTCCTATGCTATCTCTTCTGTCTGGTTGTCCCACAGTTTCAACTCTGTAAATGAAGTAGAAAGGTCATTTCATACTTTTTTTTTTTTTTTGAGACAGAGTCTTGCTCTGTCACCGAGGCTGGAGTGCAGTGGCGCGATCTCAGCTCACTGCAACCTCTGCCTCCTGGTTTAAGCAATTCTCCTGCCTCAACCTCCTGAGTAGCTGGGACTACAGGCAAGCACCACCACGCTCGGCTAATTTTTGTAATTTTAGTAGAGATGGGGTTTCACCATGTTGGTTAGGCTGGTCTCAAAACTCCTGACCTCATGATCTGTCCGCCTTGGCCTCCCAAAGTGCTGAGATTACAGGTGTGAGCCACCGAGACCAGCCCATTTCATACTTTTTAAATGCAACATGAATGATACCTAATAGCTGCTAGCTTAAAAAGAACAATCTTACTACATTGGTTTTTTTCTAAATAATAATAGCAACCAGGCCGGGCGCGGTGGCTCAAGCCTGTAATCCCAGCACTTTGGGAGGCCGAGGCAGGTGGATCACGAGGTCAAGAGATCGAGACCATCCTGGTCAACATGGAGAAACCCCATCTCTACTAAAAATACAAAAAATTAGCTGGGCATGGTGGTGCGTGCCTGTAATCCCAGCTACTCAGGAGGCGGAGGCAGGAGAATTGCCTAAACCCAGGAGGTGGAGGTTGTGGTGAGCTGAGATCGCACCATTGCACTCCAGCCTGGGTAACAAGAGCGAAACTCTGCCTCAAAATAATAATAATAATAATAATAATAATAATAATAGCAACCATGATTGAGTTTTTGCTATACTGCAGGCACTATTCTAATTATTTTGTATCTACCTTCTCATAGCAATTTATGAGGTAGGTAGTATTATTATTATGAAAAAAATACAAAAACTGGCTGGGCATGGTGAAACCCCGTTTCTAACAAAAATACAAAAAAATTAGCAGAGTGTGGCGGTGGGTGCCTGTTGTCCCAGCTACTTGGGAGGCTGAGGCAGGAGAATCGCTTGAACCCAGGAGGTGAAGGTTGCAGTGAGCTGAGGTCGCACCACTGCACTCTAGCCTGGGAGACAGAGCAAGACTCCATCTCAAAGAAAAACAAAAGGCAGTAACAGCCTACCTCCTACACTATTAGGATTAAAGAAGGCTGTTAGCACCTAAAGCACCTTCCTTTTTTTTAGAGATAGGGTGTCACTCTGTCACTCAGGCTGGAGTGCAGTGGCACATTCTTGGCTCACTGTAGTCTCTGCCCCCTGGACTCAAGCGATCCCTCCACCACAGTCTCCCAAGTAGCTGGGACTACAGGTGCATGCCACTTTTAATGGCCAGCTTTGTCTTTCTCTCTTTGAAGTCCTGCTTTGTCACCTCTCAGGTTCAAGCAATTCTCCTGCCTCATCCTCCTGAGTAGCTGGGATTACAGGCACATACCAACACACCCAGCTAATTTTTGTAGGCTTTCTCTTTTTATTAATTAATTAATTAATTGAGATACAGTTTTGCTCTTGTTGCCCAGGTTGGAGTGCAATGGTGCAATCTTGGCTAGGTGCAATCTTCGCTCACTGCAACCTCTGCCTCCCAGGTTCAAGCAATTCTCCTGCCTCAGCCTCCCAAGTAACTGGGATTACAGGCATGTGCCACCATGCCCAGCTAATTTTGTATTTTTAGTAGAGACGGGGGCGGGCGGGGGTGTCTGCATGTTGGTCAGCTTGGTCTCGAACTCCCGACCTCAGGTGATCCGCCCGCCTAGGCCTCCCAAAGTGCTGGGATTACAGGCATGAGCCACTGTGCCAGGTAGGCTTTCTCTCTTTTTTAAGAGAAAAGTAGTGGTAAAGAAAAATTTTAAATACGGTTAAAAAATAAGATTGGCCGGACGTGGTGGCTCACACCTGTAATTCTAGCACTTTGGGAGGCCAAGGTGAGTGGACCACTTGAGTTTAGGAGTTTGAGACCAGCCTGGCCAATATGGTGAAACCCTGTCTCTATGAAAAAAAATATATATAAAAATTAGCTGGGTGTGGTGGCGCATGCCTGTAATCCCAGCTATTTGGGAGGCTGAGGCATGAGAATCACTTCAATCCAAGAGGAAGAGGTTGCAGTGAGCCAAGATCATCGTTCCATTGCATTCCAGCCTGGGCATCAGAGTAAGACTCTGTCTTCGGCAGTGAGCAGGGGGAACAGGGCTGGTGCAGTGGCTCACACCTGCAATCCCAGCACTTTGGAAGGCTGTGGTAGACAGATCACTTGAGCTCAGGAGTTCAAGACCAGCCTGGGCAACATGGTGAAACCCCATCTCTACAAAACATACAAAAATTAGCTGGGTCTGGTAGTACTCCTGTAATCCCAGCTACTCAGGAGGCTGAGGTGAGAGGATTGCTTGCATCTGTGAAGTGGAGGTTACAGTGAGCTGAGATCATGCCACTGCACTTCAATCTGGGTGACAGGGTGAGACCCTGTCTTAAACAAAAAGTGGGGAGAGCTGGGGAGGGGAATGAGAAAGAAAATAAATCTTAAAAAAAAAAAAATCAGAAAATCTGAGAAGGAAAGAGCAGGAATGTTCACCCAGGAAGTCAGGGAGACCTGGAAGGAGGGGGTGCTAGCAGACCTGAGCATCTAATGAGAGTGTGTCTAGAGACTGTTACAATCCAGCCAGTAACACAGGTTTCTCTGGCTTCAGCAGCTCTAAGCCTTATAGAAACGTCAGCAGGGACCAACTGGGCTAAATAACAAAGTAGTGCCTTCAAGAGTATAGTCTCTCTTCTAACTACTAGGCCCATAAGCACCCTCAAAAAACTACTGTTTCTCTTGATTAAAGTAGGAACACTTGCTCCTCCCTTATGCACGGAGTCCTCTTGCATTCACATTTCTGACTTCAATGCTGATGCATGAAATTCCTTTAAACAAGGGGAGAAAACATTTTCGTTCCACAGTCAAAGAAAAACATGACAAAAATGCAAAAGGCTTGCTACGACAATACTGAGGTAAACAGAACTTCAGGTAATCACCCTGCAAAGTGGGGCCTGATGATGCATCTTTAGGAGAGGCTAGACAGACTAACAGTTTATTGAGACCTACTATGTCTTTCACATCATGGTCAGCAGAAGTGAATTTAAATCAATTTGTATAATTTCCAAGGTCTTAGTAAAGACTGAATGATTTAAGAAATAAACCTAGGCCGGGCGCGGTGGCTCAAGCCTGTAATCCCAGCACTTTGGGAGGCCGAGGCGGGTGGATCACGAGGTCAAGAGATCGAGACCATCCTGGTCAACATGGTGAAACCCCGTCTCTACTAAAGTGCAAAAAATTAGCTGGGCATGGTGGCGCGTGCCTGTAATCCCAGCTACTCCGGAGGCTGAGACAGGAGAATTGCCTGAACCCAGGAGGTGGAGGTTGCGGTGAGCCGAGATCGCGCCACTGCACTCCAACCTGGGTAACAAGAGCGAAACTCCGTCTCAAAAAAAAAAAAAAAAAAAAAAAGAAATAGCCGGGCGCGGTGGCTCAAGCCTGTAATCCCAGCACTTTGGGAGGCCGAGGTGGGTGGATCACGAGGTCGAGAGATCGAGACCATCCCGGTCAACATAGTGAAACCCCGTCTCTACTAAAAATACAAAAAATTAGCTGGGCATAGTGGCACGTGCCTGTAATCCCAGCTCCTCGGGAGGCTGAGGCAGGAGAATTGCCTGAACCCAGGAGGCGGAGGTTGCGGTGAGCCAAGATCGCGCCATTGCACTCCAGCCTGGGTAACAAGAGCGAAACTCTGTCTCAAAAAAAAAAAAAAAAAAGAAATAAACCTAAGTAGCAATCTATCAGACATTACCATGTATCCAAGGAGGAAGAATTTAAAAAGCAGGAGAGCATCAGATCAAGTGGTAAAAGGTCGTACAAGATAAAAGTTAAAAGAGCTAAGGATACAGTAATAGAGGAACTGTAGACTTCAACAGTGCCTAGAATCATGTTTACTCTCCCATGAAAAAGAAGCAATACAGACCAGTCTGGAGTCAGACTGCCTGGATTTAAATCCTAGCTTTGGTATTTACTAGCTGTGTGACACTGGGTAAATAATTTCTCTGTGCCTCCATTTCCACATCCCTAAAATAAATAACTAAATCTATCTCACTGGGTTACTATGAAAACCAAATGAGTTAATACAAGTTAAGACAATACATGGCACATAGTAAATATTATTTAAATATTAATTGCAATTATCATTATTGTAGTCTGAGATCAAGTTAGGAAGCTCTGTCATTGCACAGAAACACCTTGTTCTCAGGAGAGTCACTAACGGAAATGTTTCTGTAAAGAAGGGACATAAGCAGAGAAGGAGTATGTTAGTGCAGAAAACTCATGATTACCTGGGGAATAATTAAATAGATTTTAGGCATTAGTCTTTTTTTTTCTCTCTCTCTTTCTCTTTGTTGGTATTTTTCTGGTTAGAGTCATTCTTTCTTCAATAAGGGACGAGAAGAGGTATCAAAAATAGACAAAACATAAACTAGTATATTCTGACAACTGCTGACAATTCAAATTACTTAGCTGGAGAGGAACATAGCAACATTGACTTAGATGAAACATTCAGATATTCTCCATGCCTTAAATAATAAGGGCATGAGAACAAGAGGAACTCAGGTCAAGCATTCACAATAAAATTTCATCTCAAGACTTAAAAAACTTAGAGGAGAGCTTGTTACACTAACGTGAATATGGTGAAAATCAGGCAAACTTTACTTCTTTAAGTCAAAACTGACATTTGGTTTTTAGGAAGAGCTATTTAGAAACATGACCATAAAGAATACATCTCAGGCGAGGCACAGTGGCTCACGCCTGTCATCACAGAACTTTGAGAGGCTGAGGTGAGTGGATCACAAGGTCAGGAGTTCGTGACCAGCCTGACCAACACGGTGAAACCCCATCACTACTAAAAATACAAAATAGCTGGGCGTGGTAGCGTGCGCATGTAGTCCCAGCTACTCAGGAGGCTGAGGCAGGAGACACTGTACTCCAGCCCGGGCAACCAGAGCAACACTCCATCCAAAAAAAAAAAATTGCATCTCGGGTAACACGAACAGATTTGCTCTGTCACCAGGTGCCAGGCTGGACTGCAGTAGTGTGATCTCAGCTCACTGCAACCTCCGCCTCCCAGGTTTAAGCAATTCTCCTGCCTCAGCCTCCTCAGTTGCTGGGACTATAGGCGCATGACACTACATCCAGCTAATTTTTGCATTTTTTTCGTAGAGATGGGGTTTCACCATGTTGACCAGGATGGTCTGGCTGTCTTGACCTCGTGATCCGCCTGCCTCAGCCTCCCAAAGTGCTGGTGAGCCACCGCGCCTGGCCACTTTCAGTTTTACTTTATGGAGTAGCATATTCAAATGTTTACAGTGTTATCTCTGCAGAGATGTACTCTAGTGATTCACAAAGGACAAAATAAATTACTGGCCTCTATATTTTTGCTTTTTTTTTGGAGACGGAGTCTTGCTCTATCACACAGGCTTGAGTGCAGTGGTGCAACTGCAGCTCACTGCAACCTCTGCCTCCCAGGTTCAAGCGATTCTTGTGCCTCAGCCTCCAGGGTGGCTGGGATTATAGGTGTGCACCACCACACCCAGGTAACTTTTGGGTTTTTTTTTTTTTTTTTTTGAGACAGAGTCTTGCTCTGTTGCCAGGCTAGAGTGCAGCGGCGCAATCTCGGCTCACTGCAATCTCTGCCTCCCAGGTTCAAGTGATTCTCCTGCCTCAGCCTCCTGAGTAGCTGGGATTACAGGCACAAGCCACCACACCCAGGTAATTTTCATATTTTTAGTAGAGATGGAGTTTCACCGTGTTGGCCAGGATGGTTTCAATCTCCTGACCTCGTAATCTGCCAGCCTCAGCCTCCCAAAGTGCTGGGATTGCAGGCGTGAGCCACCGCACCCGGCCTAATTTTTGTATTTTTAGTAATTTTTGTATTTTCATCATGTTGGTCAGGCTGGTCTCGAACTCCTGACCTCAGGTGATCTGCCCACCTTGGCCTCCCAAAGTGCTGGGATTACAGGCATGAGCCACCGCACCTGGCCTCTTAATTTTTGAGATGGAGTCTCACTCTCTTGCCCAGGCTGGAGTGCAGTGTATGATCTCGGCTCACTGCAACCTCACCCTGCCATGTAGCTAATACTACAGGCACCTGCCACCATGCCTGGCTGATTTTTGTATTTTTAGTAGAGATGGGGTTTCACCATTTTGCCAGAATGGTCTTCAACTCCTGACCTTGTGATCAACCCACTTCAGCCTCCCAAAGTGCTGGGATTACAGGTGTGTGCCGTCAGGCCTGGCTTTTTTTTTTTTTCTCTCTTTTTAGACAAAGTCTCACTCTGTCGCCCAGGCTGGCGCCATCTTAGCTCACTACAACCTCTGCCTCTCAGGTTCAAGTGATTCTCCTGCCTCAGCCTCCCAAGTAACTGGGATTACAGACGTGTACCACCGGGCCCAGCTAATTATTGTATTTTTAGTAGAGACAGGGTTTTGCCATGTTGGTCAGGCTGGTCTCGAACTCCTGACCTCAGGTGATCCACCTGCCTTGGCCTCCCAAAGTGCTGGGATTACAGGCATGAGCCACCTCGTCCAGCTGCCCCTAAATTTTTAATATTGATGTTTGAGAGATATTCTACTTACCTCTACTTACCAAGAGGAAAAGAGACATAAACATATTAAACCTCAAGCATTTCATATACATTTCCCAGTTAATCTACATAATAACCCTATGAATACAGATGAGAAAACTAAAGCTGAAGGAAATAAAGAAGTCTTCCCACAGTAACACTGCCTATAAATGATGGAATAAGCTCAGGATGTTTTGAATTCAAAGCTCATGTATGCTCTGTGCACTTCACTCTGCTTCCTGAGGCAGGTGAGATGCTTTAGTATCCACTTGCCTGAATGTTAATGTCTGCCCACAAAAATAAGTTGGAGCTCTGGAGTAGAGAACACCTGATGATTCAGAATCGTTCCGGAGTGCTATATTTCTTCGACTGCTGAGACTGTACCCCTCAAAGCCAGCTGTCCACTCTTTTTAAAAGATATTGAAAACTGTTAGAATCTCTTGAGGAATATCTTCAATACAGACACATTAAATAAAACATGAAAATGGGAAAGACTACTCGTAGGGGCCATGGTCAAGTTCAATAAAAGAAAAGATTCCGTTAACAGAGTATCATGATGAGTCCCACACATTATAAAAAAGATTTTACTACATTTCTGCATAATTTTCACATAATAAATAAGTGTTAGCTCCTATCTAATAAAACCACAGTTCAAACATAATTGCTTAAACTTATTCCAACCTGATAAAAATCTAATTAATAAATGAGTCTATATCTTCTAAAAAAAAAAATGCAGGAGAGAGATCAATTTCAAATCATAAGACTTTTAAGAAAATGTTCCTCTCCAGATATTTCTTGAGGGTTTGGAAAATCAGCATCAGCTGGGCACAGTGGCTCATGCCTATAATCCCAGAATTTTGGGAGGCCAAAGCAAGAGGATTGCTTAAGCCCAGGAATTCAAGACCAGCCTGGGCAACATAGTGGACCCCGTCTCAACAAAAAAATAAAAAATTAGTGAGGCATGGGGTGCACGCAGGTGGCCCCAGCTATATGGGAGGCTGACGCAGGAGGATCTCGAGGTCAGGCTGCAGTAAGCCATGACTGTACCACTGCACGCCAGCCTGGGTTGACAGAGTGAGACCTTGTCTCAAAAAAACTAAACAAATAAAATTAAAATTAAAAAAAGAAGAAGGGCCGGGTATGGTGGCTCATGCCTGTAATCCAAGCACTTTGGAGGCCAAGACTGAGGGTGGATCACCTGAGGTCGGGAGTTCAAGACCAACCTGACCAACATGGTGAAACCCTGTCTTTAAAAAAAAAAAAAAAGGAGAAGGCCAGGTGCGGTGGCTCATGCCTGTAATCCCAGCACTTTGGGAGGCTGAGGCAGGTGGATTACGAGGTCACGAGATCCAGACCATCCTGGCCAACATGGTGAAACCCCATCTTCACTAAAAAATACAAATATTAGCTGGGTGTGGTGGCATGCACCTGTAGTTCCAGCTACTCAGGAGGCTGAGGCAGGAGAATTGCTTGAACCCAGGAGGCAGAGACTGCAGTGAGCCGAGGTTGTGCCACTGCACTCCAGCCTGGCGCCTGGCAACAGAGCAAGATTCTGTCTCAAAAAAAAAAAAAAAAAAAGAAGAAGAAGAAAAAGGATTATCAGTGTCCTGCACGATATTTTCAATCTTTGGTTTTTAGAGAGGTTAAAAATCTCATCCAGTATTTCTTTTATTTCTTTTTTTTTGGACTCTGAAGATAAGAACTGATGAAAACAAAAATCGCATGAAGTAACCTGTGTAAAAGACATGGTGCATGTTGTTCTTATCAATTCAGGATCTATGCTTAGAATAGCTGGTTGTCAGGAGGCGGAAGTTGCAGTGAGCCAAGATCATGCCACTGTACTCCAGCCTGGCAAAAGAGCAAGACTCTATCTCAAAAAAAAAAAAAAAAAAAAGAATAGCTGGTTGTCAGTGTCCTGACCTTAGCATAGACTACAAGAATTCTAATATACAATTAGGCTTCAAGAGAGGAGAGATTAGCAGCATACCATGAGGCACCAATGTGGAATGACCTATCTGGGGGACGCTCCAAGGACTCCACTCCTGTCGGCCATCTCCTCGGGCGCACACTCTGAACTGATAATCAACATTGGGGTCTATGTGCAATACAATGAATTCAGTTTCAGAACCTACATATACATCCTCAAAATGATTTGAAGTAGATTTGCGAAACTGGAGCCTATAATCTTGGGCTGTAAAGTCGTCATCCACCTAGGGAGAAAAACTTTATGTTAGGTAAAAAACAGAAAATGACTTCTCGCAGCATCACTGCTTAAAAACTTTGAATGGAGCTATTTTGGACCAAGCAGACAGGCCCACATGCTGAATATGGGGTATTTTTGAGAAGGCCACAGGAAATATGTCATCACATCATTATCTCCTTTTTTTCTGAGACAGAGTCTCACTTTTTACCCAGTCTGGACTGCAGTGGTGCGATCTCAGCTCACTGCAGCCTTGACCTCCCGGGTTCAAGCCATCCTCCTCTCTCAACCCAAGTAGCTGGGACTACAGGCGCACATCCTTATGTCCAGTTAATTTTTTGTAGAGACGGAGTTTCACCATATCTCAGTTCTTGAACTCCTGAGCTCAAGCAATCTTCCCATCTCAGCCTCTCAAAGTGCTAGGATTACAGGTGTGAGCCACTGCCCCTGGACTCCCTTCTTTTCTTTATTGGATCATGTGTTCTATACTTCTCTGTCTGATATAAAAATGTCTGCTTCCTTTGAAAAAATGGCATGTTTTCTAATCAATGCCAAAGATAAAACATTCAAGATTCAATGATAAATTTCCCACAACTATACATCATTCATAATAACCAAAAGATAATTAACATATAGTATACAGGACCCCCATTAATTTTTAGGGCTCCTGTATATATTCTGTATGTTAATTTAATTAGCCACCCAATAGAAAAATGGGTAAAAGACATAAATAAGCATTCTACAGGATAAGAAATATAAATAGCCAAAAATATACATTATAAATATTCAACCTAATTTGTAACATGGAAAATACAACCTAAAAACCGCAACAAGGCAAAAAGTGGTGGCTCATGTCTATAATTCTAACACTTTGGGAGGCAAAATCAGGGGAACACTTGAGCCCAGGAGTTCGAGGCCAGCCTGGGCAACACGGCAAAACCTCATCTCTAGAAAAAATAACAAAAATGAGCTGTGTGTACAAGCACATGCCCGTAGTCTCAGTTACTTGGGGCTGAAGCAGGAGGGTCACTTGAGCCCAGGAGGTCAAGGCTGGAGTGAACATGATTGTGCCACTGTACTCCAGCCTGGGTGACAGGGTGAGACCCTGTCTCAAAAACAAACAAACAAATAAATAAAATAAAACCACAACAAGTCACATTTAGGCAAAAATATAAAATCTCACAATGCAAATTATTGGTCAAGATATAGAATAAGAGAAACTCACATACTGCCTGGAGGCTAAAATGATACAATCATCTTGTAGAAAGTCTATCATTACCTATTAGCATATGGATCCAATACTCTAAGACGACCTCATAATTTTACAGCTAGGTAAATATTAATATTTTACAAGTTTCACATATGCTCACAAGGAAACGCAAGTAAAAATACTTAGAGCAAAAAAACTGGAAGTAACTAGGCCCACTGATAGGAGTTTGAGGCCAACACGGCAAAACCCTGTCTTGACTAAAAATACAAAAAAAATTATCTGAATTAGCTACTGAACCTGGTGGGGAGTGGGGCATGGTGCAGAGGTTGCAGTGAGCCAAGGTAGCACCACTGCACTCCAGCGTGGGCAACTGAGCAAGACCTCATCTCAAAAAAAAAAAAAAAAAAAAAAAAAAAAAGCAAGGCACAGTGGCTCACACCTGTAATCCCAGCCCTTTGGAAAGCCGAGGTTGGTGGATCACTTGCGGTCAGGAGTTCGAGATCAGCCTGGCCAATATGGTGAAACCCTGTCTCTACTAAAAATACAAAAATAAGCTGAATGTGGTGGCGACAGGTGCTTGTAATCCCAGGTACTGGGAAGGTTGAGGCAGGAGAATCACTTGAACCTGGGAGGTGGAGATTGCAGTTGGCTGAGATCAAGACACTGCACTCCAGCCTGGACTCCGTCTCAAGAGAAAAAAAAAAAAAAGAAAATCTCAGTTAAGAGTGTAGCTAAGCCAGGCGCGGGGGCTCAAGCCTGTAATCCCAGCACTTTGGGAGGCTGAGGCGGGTGGATCACGAGGTCAGGAGATCGAGACCATCCTGGTCAACACGGTGAAACCCCGTGTCTACTAAAAATACAAAAAATTAGCTGGGCATGGTGGTGCATGCCTGTAATCCCAGCTACTCAGGAGGCTGAGGCAGGAGAATTGCCTGAACCCAGGAGGCGGAGGTTGCAGTGAGCCGAGATCGCGCCATTGCACTCCAGCCTGGGTAGCAAGAGCGAAACTCCGTCTCAAAAAAAAAAAAAAAAAAAGAGTGTAGCTAAAAAGATAAAACAAGAAAAAGAAAGATAGTTTTTATCAGTATGATAAGACAGGGTGGAAACAAATACATAGAATCGTCTTCAGATTCAAGCACTCATCTCTGAATGATGTATTTGTCAACAGCCAAAATACTATGACTAATTTGGACATGGTTTCTATTAAAATATAGTAACTTGGCCGGGTGCGGTGGCTCAAGCCTGTAATCCCAGCACTTTGGGAGGCCGAGGCGGGTGGATCACAAGGTCGAGAGATCGAGACCATCCTGGTCAACATGGTGAAACCCCGTCTCTACTAAAAATACAAAAAATTAGCTGGGCATGGTGGTGCGTGCCTGTAATCCCAGCTACTCAGGAGGCTGGGGCAGGAGAATTGCTTGAACCCAGGAGGCGGAGGTTGCGGTGAGCCGAGATCGCGCCATTGCACTCTAGCCTGGGTAACAAGAGCGAAACTCCGTCTCAAAAAAAAAAAAAAAAAAAAAAAAATATATAGTAACTCGCCGGGCACGGTGGCTCACGTCTGTAATCCCAGCACTTTGGGAGGCCAAGGTGGGTGGATCACGAGGTCAAGAGATCGAGATCATTCTGGTCAACATGGTGAAACCCCGTCTCTAATAAAAATACAAAAAATCAGCTGGGCATGGTGGCGCGTGCCTGTAATTCCAGCTACTCAGGAGGCTGAGGCAGGAGAATTGCCTGAACTCAGGAGGCGGAGGTTGCGGTGAACCAAGATTGCGCCATTGTACTCAGGCCTGGGTAACAAGAGCAAAACTTCGTCTCAAAAAAAAAAAATAGTAACTCATATTAATAATATAACTTAACACATAAAACTCTCAGCAATACTAAGTGTGTAATGAAACTACACTTTAGGAATCTTATTTCAAAAGTATTAGTTCAGTGTTTAACAGAAAAAATATTTTTTTCAGATGGACTCCATCTCACTCTGTCACCCAGGCTGGAGTGTAGTGGCACAATCTTGGTTTACTGTAACCTCTGTCTCCTGGGCTGAAGCCATCCTCCCACCTCAGTCTTTTGAGTAGCTGGGACTCACAAATGCACATCACTATGCTAGCTAATTACTTTTTTTTGTATTTTTGGTAGAGATGGAGTTTCACTATGTTGCCCAGGTTGGTTGAACTCCTGAGCTCAAGCAATCCACCTGCCTCAACCTCCCAAAGTGCTGGGATTAAAGGCGTGAGTGTGGTCCAGAAAATATTAAGACATTCAATATTGACTATAATCTTTTGGCTTTTCTAGTAAGTAGAAATGGAAGAAATCCTCAAGTCATTAAGGTAAACCTAGAAAATATGTGATGAGAAACAATGTTGTAATACAGAGACTTTAAAAAGTTCTTTCAAAACTATTTATCTAAAACTGGAAGAGCAGCTGGGCACAGTGGCTCACGCCTGTAATCCTAGCACTTTGGGAGGCTGAGGCAGGTGGATCACCTGAGGTCAGGAGTTCAACACCAGCCTAGCCAACTGGTGAAACCTTGTCTCTACAAAAAATAGAAAAATTACCCGGGCATGGTGGCAGGTGCCTATAATTCCAACTAATCGGGAGGCTGAATCAGGAGAATAGCTTGAACCCAGGGGAAGTGGGGAAGAGGGGGTGCAGAGGTTGCAGTAAGCTGAGATCATGCCACTTCATTCCAGCCTGAGCAAAAGAGTGAAACTCCATCTCAAAAACAAAAACAAAAAAAAAAAAAAGAAAGAAAATGAAACTTGAAGAGCTACCTCAGTATTCTCTGTGACTTCATTTTAGTCAAAGATTGTTGTTTGGGAAGAAAAAATATATTCAAAAGTAGTTAATGAAAAAATCTGAACGGCCCCTAAATCTCAAACCCATAATGTAGAAGCCATTTCTAGAATTCTGAATTACATACCTTACACCATCGTACAATGATGCCTCCAGGTTTCTCTATTAGTTCTTCTATCTGTACTGGTGGGCGAGATGCTACTGTTCCATGCTTAAAAATGTGGTCTTTCACTATGTTAAGAATTGAGTCATCCAACTGAGCAGATAAACAAGGCACATCAACCAGTAAAGGTACTTCTGGCAAGCTGAGGAAACAAAGCTCATGTGTTATGAGACCTCTAACTGATAGTTAAAAAATACAAGAAATATTTTAGAGTAGTCACATGCTTGAAAGATCCTGAAGTCCCCAATAAGTAATTCTCATGGCAGTAGGGGATGTGCAAGATGTTACACAAAGATTCTCTTTTCAAATAAATATAAGCAAGACAAAATTGGTAGAACCCCAACTGTCCAGTTTATGCCAAAAGATCTGGTTTATTGGAATATGACTCAGTTTCAACAAAACATTGAGAATTTCTAAAATTTTACAATTCTTTTATACGTTGGAATGAAAAAATCTGAGCCATACTAAAGTACCAAAGATTATAATCACAACTATTTCATATTAGTAACAGTGGTAATGGGCAGTGAAACCCCCCTCCTTTTTTTTTTTTTTTTGAGACGGAGTTTCACTCTTGTTACCCAGGCTGGAGTGCAATGGCACGGTCTCGGCTCACCGCAACCTCCGCCTCCTGGGCTCAGGCAATTCTCCTGCCTCAGCCTCCTAAGTAGCTGGGATTACAGGCATGTGCCACCACGCCCAGCTAGTTTTTGTATTTTTAGTAGAGACGGCGTTTCACCATGTTGACCAGGATGGTCTCGATCTCTTGACCTCGTGATCCACCCGCCTCGGCCTCCCAAAGTGCTGGGATTACAGGCTTGAGCCACCGCGCCCGGCCTTTTTTTTTTTTTTTTTTTTTTGACACAGTCTCACTGATATGGTGTAGTCTCGGCTCACTGCAACCTCCACCTCCCAGATTCAAGAGATTCTCCTGCCTCAGCCTCCCGAGTAGTTGGGACTACAGGTGCATGCTACCACACCTGGATAATTTTTTATTTTTTGTTTTATATTTATTTTGAGATGAAGTCTTGCTCTGTTGTCCAGGCTGGAGTGCAGTGGTGCAATCTTGGCTCACTGCAACCTCTGCCTCCTGGGTTCAAGTGATTCTCCTGTCTCAGTCTCCCCAGTAGCTAGATGACAGGCATGCACCACCATGCCTGCTTAATTTTTTTTTTTTTTTTTTTTTTTGAGACAGTCTTGCTCTGTCACCAGGCGCCAGGCTGTATTACAGTGGCCCAATCTCGGCTCACTGTAATCTCCGCCTGCTGGGTTCAAGCAATTCTCCTGCTTAAGCCTCCCGAGTAGCTGAGACTACAGGTGCATGCCACCATGCCCAGCTAATTTTTGTATTTTTTAATAGAGACAGGGTTTCACCATGTTGGCCAGGACGGTCTCAATCTCTTGACCTCTTGATCTGCCCGCCTCAGCCTCCCAAAGTGCTGGGATTACAGGCATAAGCCACGGTGTCCAGCCTTTTTTTTTTTTGAGATGGATCTCACTGTCGCCTAACCACCATGCTTGGCCTGAAAAACCTTGAAATACATATTCTCTTATCTCCCTCAATCAAAATCTTGAAAAGAGGGAGGAAAAAAAAGCAGACATAGTTTAAATGCTTAAAAGTAAGTCCAAAAGGCACAAATTCTTTTACCTGTCCAACTGAATGTGCGAGGCCTTTTTGGTAAAGCTCCACAGTTTCTCATTCTCTTCTCCCACACCATCAAGCATGGCGATCTCACCTACAATCAAAAATAAGAGAACTTGTACAGTGGAAATGATCGAATATAAAGTAATCAACATAGCTGGTGGCTCACACCTATAATCCCAGCACTTTGGGATGCTGAGGCGGGCGGATCATGAGGTCAGGAGATTGAGACCATCCTGACCAATACAGTGAAACCCCATCTCTACTAAAATACAAAAAATTAGCTGGGCATGGTGGCTCGCGTCTGTAGTCCCAGCTACTTGGGATGCTGAGGCATGGGAATCGCTTGAACCTAGGCGGTGGAGGTTGCAGTGAGCCGAGATCATGCCACTGCACTCCAGTCTGGTGACAGAGCAAGACTCCATCTCAAAAAAACAAAACCAAACAAAAAGTAATCAATACAACTCATGTCTGGGTGGGTCTCTAGTGTTCTTAGAAATAGTTCTTAAGTGATGCCACAGTCAAATTCCCAAAAAGTTAAAGTAGAAACTATTTTAGAAGTGACTTTAAGATCAAATCCAAGAGGAAAAGGGATACATAGTGGCAACGTTTTGCTAGAGATGAAAAATCTATCTGCTCTATATGAGGAAATCAACCTATTTTAGGCAAAGCAGAAGGTCCAGGGACTTCTTCCCATCTCTCCTACAGAATCATTATGAACTTCAATAGGAGCCAGTATAAAATACTGCCCTGAGAGGAGCAATAGGGGATAAGGTGTTTTTGTTTTTGTTTTTTTGAGACTAGGTTTCATTCTGTCACCCAGGTTGGAGTGCAGTGGTAAGATGATAACTCACTGTGGCCTCAAACTCCCGGGCTCAAGCAATCCTCCCACCTCAACCTCCCAAGTAGCTGTGACCACAGGTGCATGCCACCATGCCCAGCTATTTTTTATTTTTGGAAGAGACAAGGTCTCACTATGTTGCCAGGCTGGGCATAGGGCTTGAAAAGCCAAATGATGCAGCTATGTTTTCCTAAAAAGAGTATCATACATCAGATTATAAATTAATCAACAAGCCGGGCGCGGTGGCTCAAGCCTGTAATCCCAGCACTTTGGGAGGCTGAGGCGGGTGGATCACGAGGTCAAGAGATCGAGACCATCCTGGTCAACATGGTGAAACCCTGTCTCTACTAAAGATACAAAAAAAAAAAAAAATTAGCTGGGCATGGTGGCCCATGCCTGTAATCCCAGCAACTGAGGAGGCTGAGGCAGGAGAATTGCTTGAACCCAGGAGGCGGAGGTTGCGGTGAGCCGAGATCGCGCCATTGCACTCCAGCCTGGGTAACAAGAGCGAAACTCCGTCTCAAAAAAAAAAAAAAAAAAAAATTAATCAACAGAACACTAAAATGTTACAGAGAGGCATATGAAAATGACCAACTTCTATGTCCGTCCACAGCCCTGAAGAACACTGCCAGAACTCTATTCTATGTGAATGTGCCCCGTAGTTACTCAAGTTTTTAGGACCACATGACCTTCTCCTTCACCAAAAGAAAAACAGAGACATGGCCAGGCACTGTGGTTCATGCCTGTAATCTCGGCACTTTGGCAGGCTGAGGCGGGCAAATCACCAGAGGTCAGGAGTTCGAGACCAGCTTGGTCAACGTGGTGAAACCCTGTCTCTACTAAAAATCCAAAAATGAGTTGGGCATGGTGGCATGCACCTGTAGTCCCAGCCAGTAAGCGAGGCTCATGCATAAGAATTGCTTGAACTCGGGAGGTGGAGGTTGCAGTGAGCTAAGATCGCATCACTGTACTCCACCCTGGGCAACAGTGTGAGACTCTGCCTCAAAATTAAATAAATAAATAAAATCCCCAAAATTCCATAAATAAGTTTTTGTCCTTTGAGAGAGGAGGAAAGAGTCCGACATTAAAAATATTCCGGCCGGGTGCGGTGGCTCAAGCCTGTAATCCCAGCACTTTGGGAGGCCGAGGCGGGTGGATTACAAGGTCAAGAGATCGAGACCATCCTGGTCAACATGGTGAAACCCCGTCTCTACTAAAAATACAAAAAATTAGTTGGGCATGGTGGCGCGTGCCTGTAATCCCAGCTACTCAGGAGGCTGAGGCAGGAGAATTGCCTGAACCCAGGAGGCGGAGGTTGTGGTGAGCCGAGATGGCACCATTGCACTCCAGCCTGGGTAACAAGAGTGAAACTCCGTCTCAAAAAAAAAAAAAAAAAAAAAAAATTCCTGAAGTTTCCTTCTGCTGCTGAGATGTATAGTAATTTTTTTAAAATTAAAAAACATAAAATAGGCTGGTATGGTGGCTCACACCTGTAATCCCAACACTTTGGGAGACTGAGGTGGGTGGATCGCTTGAGGTCAGGAGTTCAAGACCAGCCTGGTCAACACTGTGAAACCCTGTTTCTATTAAAAATACAAAAAATTAGCTGGGCGTGGTGGTGGGCGCCTATAATCCTAGATATTCAGGAGGCTGAGGCAGGAGGCTCACTTGAGCCCGGGAAGCGGAGGTTGCAGTGAGCTGAGATCACGCCACTGCACTCTAGCCCAGACAACACTGTGAGACTCTCAAAACAAAACAAAAAACCCATAAAATAAAATTTTGGACATATAAAAATATTCAAGTATTAAATGCTATAACAATCAGACATATGCCTCAAATAATTTCTTCTTTTTGAGACAAGAGTCTCACTCTGTCACCCACGCCGGAGTGTGATGCATAATCACAGCTCACTGCAGCCTCAAACTCCTGGGTTCAGGGGATCCTCCTGTCTCAAATTCCCAAATAGCAAGGATTACTGGAATGTGCTACTAGGCCCAGCCAGGATTTATCTTCTAAAATAAAAACAAATGATCAGTCCTCAGGGTGATGAGTGTATACTCCTGGTCTGTGCTGCACTGCTTCTGGATTTGTTTCCAAACGCAAAGGCACCAAGGAAAGACATTCTGTGGTACTTCTAGAAATACTTTCTCAAAAGCACTGTCATGGTCAGTGGTAAATAAACACTTCTCACTGAAGATAAGACAAAAACGTAACTAGCATGTAAAGATAACACTAGTACTATACTCTAAGTGGGACCAAAAGAAGATGAACTTCTAGGTAGAGTGAGCCTTGTGAGTCATCCACACTTTTTCCCACAACACTCTCAGGACTCATTCTGCAAAAGGCATGGAATTCAGTCTCCTTTCCTGGCTCCTTCCTCAAATGACCTTTAAATGTTGGTGACCCTTAGCGTTCTAATCTCTTTCATCTGCTCTTCTCACATTACATGGTATCCTTTGATGATTTCCTTATTCTGATGGATTGAAATTTGATATACATGCCATTAACTGCCATACTGACATCTCCTAGTATGATCTGTCTCCTAAGAATCATACCCATATTTCCATCTTAAGCACCTCAAGGCCAGGTGTGGTGGCTCATGCCTGTAATCCCAGCACTTTGGGAGGCCAAGGTAGGTGGATCACCAGGTCGGGAGATCGAGACCGTCCTGGCCAACATGGTGAAACCCCATCTCTACTAAAATACAACAAAAAATTAGCCGGGTGTGGTGGTGGGCACCTGTGGTCCCAGCACTCCAGAGGCTGAGGCAGGGGAATCACTTGAATTCAGGAGGTGGAGGCTGCAGTGAGCCAAGATTGCGCCACTGCACTCCAATGCACTCCAGCCTGGGGACAGAACAAGACTCCATCTCAAAAAAAACACCACAAACTCACCATGCCCAAGCCAAATGCCTAACTATGTACTAAAGCCCTCCCCTCCTCCTTCATTTCCTGTGTCAAAAAGTAAAACACAGCACTGCCATTTACTCAGAATCCAAAAGCAGGCTGATTTTGGTCATCACAAATCCTTCCCGTTCCACTCCATCACATATGTAGGTAATCATCTACAGTCAAGTCACGCTAAGTAAAATCATCAATTCTATTTCTGCAGGAAAAAAAGTCTCTATCTTGTTTTTTTGTTTTTTGAGTTCAGAGTTTTGCTCTGTCACCCAGGGTAGAGTGCAGTGGCACGATCTCAGCTCACTGCAACCTCCACCTCCCAGGTTCAAGAGACTCTCCTGCCTCAGCCTCCCAAGTAGCTGGGACTACAGGCTTATGCCACCATGCCCAGCTAATTTTTGTATTTTTAGTAGAGACGAAGTTTTGCCATATTGGCCAGGCTGGTCTCGAACTCCTGACCTCAGGTGACCCACAAGCCTTGGCCTCCCAAACTGCTGGGATTATAGGTGTAAGCCACTGCGCCTGGCCTTTTGTTTTTATTTTTATTTTTTATTTATTTATTTATTTTTTTTTTTGAGACGGAGTTTCGCTCTTGTTACCCAGGCTGGAGTGCAATGGCGCGATCTCGGCTCACCGCAACCTCCGCCTCCTGGGTTCAGGCAATTCTCCTGCCTCAGCCTCCTGAGTAGCTGGGATTACAGGCACGCGCCACCATGCCCAGCTAATTTTTTGTATTTTTAGTAGAGACGGGGTTTCACCAAGTTGACCAGGATGGTCTCGATCTCTCGACCTTGTGATCCACCCGCCTCGGCCTCCCAAAGTGCTGGGATTACAAGCTTGAGCCACCGCGCCCGGCCGGTTTTTGTTTTTATTTTTAAGAGACAGGGTTGGCCGGGCGCGGTGGCTCAAGCCTGTAATCCCAGCACTTTGGGAGGCCGAGGTGGGTGGATCACGAGGTCAAGAGAGCGAGACCATCCTGGTCAACATGGTGAAACCCCGTCTCTACTAAAATACAAAAATTAGCTGGGCATGGTGGCGCGTGCCTGTAATCCCAGCTACTCAGGAGGCTGAGGCAGGAGAATTGCCTGAACCCAGGAGCCGGAAGTTGCAGTGAGCAGAGATCGTGCCACTGCACTCAAGCCTGGGTAACAAAAGCGAAACTCCGTCTCAAAAAAAAAAAAAAAAAAAGAGACAGGGTCTCGTACTATTGCCCAGGCTGGAATGCAGTGGTGCAATCATAGCTCAAGTCTCTTCTCACATCAGCATCCCGAGTAGTTGGGACTACAGGCATGTGCCACCATGCCTGGCTAATCAAAAAAAATTTTTTTTGTAGAGACAAGGATCTCACTATGTTGCCTAGGCTAGTCTTGAACTCCTCACCTCAAATGATCCTCCTCTCCTGTCTAGCCTCCCAGAGTGCTGGGATTACAGGTGTGAGCCACTGTGCCTGGCCCAAAATCTCTTAAAACCAGTCCTGCCTCATCTTTACCAGCCATTGCCTTTACCATTCCCACCGAGATTATTCTCTAATAACTTTTTTTGAGACTGAGTTAAAAAAAAAAAAAAAAAAGGTTTTTTTTGAGATTGATGCTGGGCTCAAGCAATCTACCCACCATGGCCTCCCAAAGTGCTGGAATTACAAGCATGAACCACTGTGTCCGGTTTCTAGTAACTTTTTTTTTTTTAGACGAACTCTCACTCTGTCACCCAGACTGGAGTGCAGTGGTGCAATCATGGCTCACTGCAACCTCTGTCTCCCAGGTTCAAGCGATTCTCCTGCCTCGGCCTCCTGAGTAACTGGAATTACAAGTGCCTGCCACCACACCTGGGTAACTTTTGTATTTTTAGTAGAGATGAGGTTTTACCATGTTGGCTAGGCTGATCTCAAACTCTTGACATCAAGTGATCCTCATGTCCTGACATTCCAAAGTGCTGGGATTACGGGCCCACACTATCCCGCCCAACCTTGGCCTCTAGTAACTTTTTCATCAGTCTCTTTTCCCTCTAGTCTTAAAATCTCTGATACAGTCTCCAAAACATAGGCAGGGTCTTTTTTGTAAAATGCACATCTGATCATGTCACTCTGCTGTTTAAAATGCTTCAACTGATCCTTGAATATGCCATTCACTCCATTTATGATCATATTACTTCTGCTTGGAATCATGCTGTTACCTTCTCTTTTTCCTATATCTGTTTGATGAATTGCTTCAAGCCTCTGTGGAACTCTTCTTACAGAAAGCTATCCCACACTTTTCCAGACAAAGTACTTCCTCTTCTATGCTCCAATAAGGTCTTAGATCTCTTATCATGTATTTCTCACTGGGCTCTGAATCCCAAAGGAAATAACTCTTACCTATTTTATTCTTTTATTGATTGATTGATTGACAGAGTCTCACTCTGTCACCAGGCTGGAGTGCAGTCTCGCAATCTCGGCTCATTGTAACCTCTGCCTCCTCGGTTCAAGCAATTCTCCTGTCTCAGCCTCCCAAATAGCTGGAACTACAGGTGTGCACCACCACACCCAGCTAATTTTTGCATTTTTAATGAGACGGGGTTTCACTATATTGGCCAGTATCATTTCGATCCCTTAACCTCATGATCCACCCACCTTGGCCTCCCAAAGTGTTGGGATAACAGGTGTAAGCCACTGTACCCAGCCTATTTATTTATTTATTTATTTTTAGATGGAGTCTCACTCTGTTGCCCAGGCTGGAGTGCACTGGTACAATCTCGGCTCACTGCAACCTCTGCCTCCTGGATTCAAGTGATTCTCCTGCCTCAGCCTCCCAAGTAGCTGGGACTACAGGCACATGCCACCATGCCCAGCTAATTTTTTGTATTTTTAGTAGAGATGGGGTTTCACCATGTTAGCCAGAATGGTCTCGATCTCCTGACCTCATGATCCATCTGCCTCGGCCTTCCAAATTACTGGGATTACAGGCTTAAGCCACTGTACCTGGCCTCTTATTCTTGTATTTTTTGAGACAGGGTCTCACTTTGTCACCCAGGCCGGAGTACAGTGGTGCAATCATGGCCCACTACCACCTCAATCTCCTGGCCTCCAGGGATCCTCCCACCTTGGCCTCCTAATTAGTTGAGACTCCAGGTGCATGCCACCACGACCAGCATTTTCTTTTTTTTTTTTTTTTTTTGTAGAGACAGGCTGTTGCCCAGGCTGGTCTCGAACTCCTGACCTCAAGTGATCCACTTGCTTCGGCCTCCCAAAGTGGTGGTATTATAGGTGTGAGCCACTGCACCTGGTTCCCTTGTTTATGTTATATACCTGACAAAGACCTAGTTGAAAGAAGGTGGGAAGACACAAAGAAAGGAAGGCAGCAGGGCATGACTCATAGAAATAATTGGCTAAAGACAGGAGTAAACACCAATCACATCTTTTTAACTTTCTAAATAGAACAATGGAGACTATAATTGTGGTGGCTCTTGCCTGTAATCCCAGGACTTTGGGAGGCCAAGGTGGGAAGATTGCTTGAGAACAGCCTGGGTAACACGGTGAAACCCTGTCTCTAACAAAAATATAAACATTAGCTGGGCATGGTGGCACACACCTGTAATCCCAGCTATTTGGTAGGCTAAGGTGGCAGGATCACCTGAGCCACTGAGGTCAAGACTGCAGGGGGCCCTGAGAGTGCTACTACACTCTGACCTGGGCAACAGAGCAAGAGCAAAACCCCTGCATAAAAAAAAAAAAGAAAAAAAAAAAAAGAATATAATTTGATTGTAACACAGAGGCCAGGTGCGGTGGCTCAAACCTGTAATCCCAGCACTTTGGGAGGCGGAGGCGGGTGGATCACGAGGTCAAGAGATCGAGACCATCCTGGTCAACATGGTGAAACCCCGTCTCTACTAAAAATACAAAAAATTAGCTGGGCATGGTGGCGTGTGCCTGTAATCCCAGCTACTCCGGAGGCTGAGGCAGGAGAATTGCCTGAACCCAGGAGGCGGAGGTTCAGGAGGCGGAGGTTGCGGTGAGCCGAGATCGCGCCATTGCACTCCAGCCTAGGTAACAAGAGCAAAATTCCATCTCAAAAAAAAAATGATTGTAACACAGAGGATAAATGCTTGAGAGGATGGATACCCCATATTCCACGATGTGATTATTACATGCTGCATGCTTGTATCAAAACATCTCAATGTGCTCCATATCATTTATTCTTCATTGTTTTATAACACTTCAACTGCACTTGTCATGGGGATATCTAACTGTATATGTGTTATCCTATATTACAAACTGTCTCTAGGTAAGAACATTCTAAGAACTCCACAGCTGGCAAGAAGCCTGCTATCTTGAGAAATCAGCAAACTGTCAATCTGAACAAACCATCTTTAACATGTGATATGGTTTGGCTCTGTGTTCCCACCCAAATCACATCTCAAATCGTACTCCCATAATTCCCATGTGTTGTGGGAGGGACTCGGTGGGAGATAACTGAATCATGGGGCAGTTTCTCCCATACTGCTCTCAGTAGTGAATAAGTCTCATAAAATCTAAGGGGATTTTAAGGGGAAACCCCTTTTGTTTGGCTCTTATTTTCTTCTCTTGTCTGCCACCAGGTAAGACATGCCTTCACCTTCTGCCATGATTGTGAGGCCTCCCCAGCCATGTGGAACTGTAAGTCCATTAAACCTCTTTCTTTTGTAAATTGCCCAGTCTTGGGTATGTCTTTATCAGCAGTGTAAAAATGAACTAATACAACAGGCTCCCTGGTCTCCCACCTTCTCGGACTAAGTCCTCTGCAGTGTTGACTCCATGTTCTATGAGCTTCTGGCAGTCATCTAGTGGTTTAATGGTCTCCTGTTCAATGGTGTCCACCTCTTGCAAAAGGGTCACCAATCGCTCATCCAGGAGCTTCCCAAGGGTTCCCTTTAAATCATTAAAATGCTGTTTGAGAACATCCCTTGTCTGTGATGCACTCTCTTTGATCTAAAAAGAAATAAAAAAATACTCAAAATCAGAATCTCTAAAAAAGGCTAATCCATAGGGATAATTCACAGTAATCTAAAAGCACTGAATAACTATCATCTTCAATTTAGTAAAAAAGAAAATTAATTGAAATTATATAAATTTAAGGTGTGATGTTTTGATATACGTATACATAGTGAATTGTTATTATAGTCAAGCTAATTAACATGTCCATCTCTTCACATGGTTACCTTTATGTGTGGTGAGAACACTTAAGAACTCTCCTAACACATTCCGAGTATACACTACACTATTAGTAACTATTGTCCCCATCCTATACTTGAGATCTCTAGAATTTACTCCTCTTAAATAACTGAAACTTTGTACCCTTTGGCCAACATCTCCTAATCCCCAACTCCATCCCTGGCAAGCACCATTCTATTTTCTGCTTCTACGATTTTGCCTGTTTTTTTTTTTTGAGATGGAGTTTTGCTCTTGTTACTCAGGCTAGAGTGCAACGGCACGATCTCGGCCCACTGCAACCTCCACCTCCTGGGTTCAACCAATTCTCCTGCCTCAGCCTCCTGTGTAGCTGGGACTACAGCCGTGCGCCACCATGCCCAGCTAATTTTTTTGTATTTTTAGTAGAGATGGGGTTTTACCATATTGACCAGGATGGTCTCAATCTCTCGACCTCGTAATCCACTCACCTCGGCCTCCCAAAGCACTGGGATTATAGGTGTGAAGCACCGTGCCCAGCCGATTTCAACCTTTTTTTAGATGCTACATACAACTGAGATCATGCAGTATTTTTATTTCTATATCTGGCTTATTTCACTTAGAGTAATGTCCTTCAGGTTCATCTATGCTGTCACAAGTGACAGAATTTCCTTCTCTTTTAAGGTTGAATACTATTCCATTGTATATATACATCTTCCATTCATTGATAAACTAAATGTGATTCATTTGCACGAACAGGCAGAAGTACACAGAATTGGCCTTCAAGTCAGATAGAATAAGCCAAATCTTGGTTTCATCATCCACAAACTACGTCAATTTGGTTACGTTACTTAAATATTCCATGCCTCAATTTCCTTATTTGTCAAATGGGCATTATAATAGTTACTTTGGCTAGGCACGCTGTCTCACTCCTATAATCTCAGCACTTTGGGAGGCCGAGGTTGGCAGATCATCTGAGGTCAGGAGTTCGAGGCCAGCCTGGCCAACATGGGGAAATCCCATCTCTACTAAAAATACAAAAATTAGCTGGACATGGTAGGGTGGGCCTGTAATCCCAGCTACTTGGGAGGCTGAGGCAGGAGAACTGCTTGAAACTGGGAGATGGAGGTTGCAGTGAGCCGAGATTGCACCACTGCATTCCAGCTGGGCAACAGAGTGAGACTCCATCTCAAAAAAAAAAAAAAAAGAAAGAAAGAAATAGGCTGGGTGCAGTGGTTCACACCTGTAATCCCAGCACTTTGGAAGGCTGAGGCGGGTGGATCATGAGGTCAGGAGATCAAGACCATCTGGGCCAACACGGTGAAACCCTGTCTCTACTAAAAATACAAAAAAATTAGCCGCGCATGGTGGCACATGCCTGTAGTCCCAGCTACTTGGGAGGCTGAGGCAGGAGAAATGCTTGAACCCAGGACGCAGAGATTGCAGTGAGCCATGATCACACCACTCCAGATGGGCGACAGTGCAAGATTCCATTTCAATTAAAAAAAAAAAAAAAAAAGCCTGAGGACAGGTGTTCAAGACCAGCCTGGCTAACATGGTGAAACCCTATCGACACTAAAAATGCAAAATGCAAAAATTAGCTAGGTGTGGTGGCAGGCGCCAGTAAATCCCAGCTACTAGGGAGGCTGAAGTAGAAGAATTGCTTGAACCCAGGAGATGGCGGTTGCACTGAACCGAGATCATGCCACTGCACTCCAGCCTTGGTGAAAAACACTCCATCTCAAAAAAAAAAAAGCCATGGTCAGGCGCAGTGGCTCACACATATGATCCCTGTACTTTGAGAGGCTGAGGCAGGAAGCTCACTTGAACCCAGGAGTTTGAGACTAGCCTGGGCAACATGGAGACACCCTGTCTCTATAAGTAATACAAAAATTAGCCAGGCATGGTGGCACATACCTGTAGTCCCAGCTACTTAGGAGGCTGAGATGGGAGGATCACCTGAGCCCAGGGGGTCAAGGCTGTAGTAAGCTGTGACTGCACCACTGCACTCTAGCTTGGGTGACACAGTGAGACCCTGTCTCTAAATAAATAAAAATAAAAAGCCACACACAAAAATAATTACCTCATGGATAAAATGCCCTCATTATGCTAAAAGAAAACCAAGAATTTATTTAAAATCCAAAGAGGTTTATAGGAGGCAGAGCTGGGACAATGACTTAATCCTTTTTGAATCATAGTACACTTTGTGAATCTAAATGAGAGGTTTATAAAGCCTCTTCCTTTCAAAGTTATTGAAAGAGAAGAAAAAACAAATCGGCCGGGCGCGGTGGCTCAAGCCTGTAATCCCAGCACTTTGGGAGGCCGAGGCGGGCGGATCACGAGGTCAAGAGATCGAGACCATCCTGGTAATATGGTGAAACCCCATCTCTACTAAAAATACAAAAAATTAGCTGGGCATGGTGGCGCGTGCCTCTAATCCCAGCTACTCAGGAGGCTGAGGCAGGAGAATTGCCTGAACCCAGGAGGCGGAGGTTGCGGTGAGCCGAGATGGCACCATTGCACTCCAGCCTGGGTAACAAGAGTGAAACTCCGTCTCAAAAAGAAAAAAAAAAGAAAAAGAAAAAACAAAGCCTCTTCCCCCCAAACTGAATTATCTATATCCTAAAAAATTATTATATTTCAAAAGTTTACAAATTCCCTCAGAGCCAAACCATGGCTTGCCTGGAGCAGTAATTACAAAACTTAATTTGCAGAAGGAGCATCTAGGCTACTTGTTATAATCAGACTGCAGAGGTCCATCCCAGACCTAATGAACCGGAAACTGACAGGAGGGGCTAAAGGATTGTATGAATGGAGTTCTTATTTTTTCCAAGCACACCTGTAATTCTGCAGCCCACACTTCGAGAAACATTGCCCTAAATCTACAGATCTCAGATTAAGAACCCATATTCTAGGGGATATGACAGTGAGCCACTGCACCTGGTCCAGATTTTTATTTTAAAGATGGCAGATAACAGGCCAGGTGGCCAGGCGCGGTGGCTCAAGCCTGTAATCCCAGCACTTTGGGAGGCTGAGGTGGGTGGATCACGAGGTCAAGAGAGCGAGACCATCCTGGTCAACATGGTGAAACCCCGTCTCTACTAAAAATATAAAACATTAGCTGGGCATGGTGGCGCGTGCCTGTAATCCCAGCTACTCAGGAGGCTGAGGCAGGAGAATTGCCTGAACCCAGGAGGCGGAGGTTGCGGTGAGCCGAGATTGCGCCATTGCACTCCAGCCTGGGTAACAAGAGTGAAATTCCGTCTCAAAAAAAAAAAATCCACCAAGAAAGAACATATAAAAATATGAATAACAGATATTTCAATAGTTAACAGATAAATTTAAAAGCTTTATATTTATTCTCTAAATTCTCTCTAAATTTAAAAAGCAGAATACAATATTGTTTTCCAGCAACGTACATGACCATGTAAAAACAAAAAATGCCCATGGCCAAGGACTACAACAGAAAAAGAGCAGTCTGATTTACTGGGTGGGCAGATCATAGAAACAATTTTCTCTCCTTTTTATTTTTTTTGAGACAGAGTTTCACTCTTGTCACCCAGGCTAGAGTACAGTGGCGCAATCTCAGCTCACTGCAACCTATGCATCCTAGGTTCAAGAGATTCTCCTGCCTCAGCCTCCTGAGTAGCTGGGATTACAGGCATGTGCCACCACACCCGGCTAATTTTTGTATTTTTAGTAAAGACAGGGTTTCACCATGTTGGCCAGGCTGGTCTTGAACTCCTGATCTCCAGTGATCCGCCGTGTCAGCCTCTCAATGTGCTGGGATTACGGGCATGAGCCACCTCATCTAGCCCTTTTATCTCCATTTGACATTAATGCAGTTATAATAATATTTGTACAGTTAGTAAAATAATTCTTTAAGTCACAAAGAGAAATTCTAAATTAATTGTTAACTAACTTCGGTAGTTACCAAAGAATTTCTGTGAAATAAATCCAAGTCGTTTTAAAAAAAAGAAAGAAAGAAAGGCCATAAACCCAAATTGTACTTGATTCAGCTCACCACTCAACTATAGGATCTTTGCAAACTGGGTCCTCATCTACATAGAACCTGGCAAACAAATGCTGTTGAGTGAAAATGCAGTTAATCACGTTTGCTTCAAAGAACTTTCTGAAAGAATCAGAGAGAGAATAGCTTATGATTTTAACACATCCCTTGGGGTACTGTTAGAAATTCAGAATCTCAGGCTGGGCGCGGTGGCTCAAGCCTGTAATCCCAGCACTTTGGGAGGCTGAGGCGGGTGGATCACGAGGTCAAGAGATCGAGACCATCCTGGTCAACATGGTGAAACCCCGTCTCTACTAAAAATACAAAAAATTAGCTGGGCATGGTGGCACGTGCCTGTAATCCCAGCTACTCAGGAGGCTGAGGCAGGAGAATTGCCTGAACCCAGGAGGCGGAGGTTGCGGTGAGCCGAGATCGCGCCATTGCACTCCAGCCTGGGTAACAAGAGTGAAACTCCGTCTCAAAAAAAAAAAAAAAAAAAAAAAAAAAATCAGAATCTCAGGCCCCACCCAGAACTGCTAAATCAGAATATGAATTTTCTTTTCCCTTCCTCCCCCAGAACCTATATTTTTAACAGGACCTTCAGGTGCTTTGTATACACATTACAGATACCAGAATAAATGAAGACCTTGTGTCAGAGCGTTATAATACATTTCGAACAACCAAGAGGAAATTCTGCACTTGAGCGCTATGCTCCCGAGATACTGTCTTGTTCTTTAGCGGATACAGCACACACAGGAAGTGCATTGGTTAGGTAAAGTCAATTTCCTCTTTA